ACCATGAATACAAAATTTAGTCGATTTTATTTAGTGTGCCAGCACGTCTTCTTTGAATTCAAAATACTAAACTGTCACTGAAATCGGTAGATTTGAAATTTTAGGGTGGTTTATATAACACAACTATTTGCTCACATCATTCAAAACTGATCATTTTCGTATTTTATAATGAAAATAATATGAAAGTTTCACCAAGCAGTCAATTTTGTAACTCATGGAGAATTGTTAAATATAACATAAGTAGATTAGATATCTAAGAATGGCTTGTATTACAAAACTCTTTGCTCACATCAATCAAAACTAGCAACTTTTGTACTTTATAATGAAAATAATATCAAGGTTTCTCCGCTCTTTACTTGGCTGCTGGTGTACCGTGACAACGTAGTTGTCGCTCACTATCGTTCGTTTGGCCCCTTCTTCTGTTCTGGCTTTTGGTGGCTCCTAAATTAATTTTTTCCTTTTCTTATTTTTGTACTTTATAACATTTTTATTTTTTATTTTATTTTATTTATTTTAGTTATATTTATTTTTTATCTTTTATTTTTTATTCAACAATATATTCATTTATTTATCTATGTATTTTATAAATTATTGTTCACTTAACTTTTATTCATGTTATGTTATTTGTCACTCTGAATTATATCAATTACCATAAGGTAAAAACACATTATTTAACTGCCCAAAAAGTCGCCAGCCAGGGCCGTTCGTGCAAAACCCTCATAAGTAGTCAAGGTCGATAACCCTCCCTCTCCCCCCGTCGTCGAAGTTTTCATAAAGCAGTAAATGTTGTAACTCAGGAATATTGTAAAATAGACAGGATTGAATAATAGTTGCAAAATTTTGTCGATTTTATTGAGAGTGGAAAAATTTCCTCTTAGTATTTAAAATGTTGAACCGTCTATAATTTTGATATCAGAGGACGGTTTGTAAAACAAAAAATATTTATCTAATCAAATAACACTGACCACTATAAAACTTTATTATAAACATTTTGTGCCAGTATCATAAATTAGTTAATTTCTTATTTCAGGATGGAATGTTTAATACAAATTATAGTAAAATTGGTACACAATGATTAAATAAGTTTGTCCAAATAAAGAGCACTACAATTTCATCTTTTATTCAAGTACTAAACCATTTTTAAAACAGTTTTCAGATCGCAGGATTGGTTGTATAACACGCAATCA